CCTACACTCAAGTGTTAATCCACTTCATCTTCTTCAATGTCCCTAAGATCTTTCCATTCTGTCTCATCCTCTAAATCCCATTGAGAATTTCTGATGTAACGAGGGTTTGGTTTTTTCAGAGACATTGAGTTACCCACTTCAAAACTTTGCCACCTCCACGATTTTGTGGCAAGTTGGACTCATTTTCTGCCTGAGGAGAGGAAGGGAGAACACCCCTGTTTGAAACTTCTGCTACTGGGAACTGATGCTACAAGGAGCTATCAAGGGGGATGATGATACATTGATTCTATCATCTCCTATTGAATGCCCAGCCCCCCTTTACATGATTTATTAAAGGGTCACGTGACCCGGCCTTGTTTTGAAGCAAACCTGGTTCATTTAAATTAAAAAGAGAGTAGGCTCCTGAATCTTTTCTCAAACCAGTGGCGCTAAATGAACCAGCTAGATTTGTGTTAGCTTTTAATACCTCAGCAACCTATTTCTTCAAGGTTGTAGGATCTGATTTAAAACATTTCGAAAAATTAAACTTAAAAGGAAATTGTTCCATTCTAGGGCTTCCCTTCAGCATTTCAGCATCCAAGTCATTTCGTCCCAATTTGACCCTTTGGGCGGTCCACCCAACTACTTCCACATGGCAACCAAACATCCACATCAGCTTCACCTTACTCCTTTGACCCTAGATTCCAGAGCTTGTGTTCGACCTCTAAAGTAAACCAGACTGTTCTCCAACAATCACCCACAAAAAATTCCATTGCTCATGGTATTTTCTCTGGCCTTACAACCACTACTTTGATCTTGGCTGCCCAAAGATCATATATGCAGTATGAGTCCAAAATACCACCACACACCGCTGCTAATTTTTGGAAAATACTTTCCTACCAAAGGTTAAAAGAAAGCCCAAGTGTTCAACAACTAAGGTACCCTGTGGGAGATCCTTCTTGTTACAAGAGGGCAACCAATTTTCTATTTGGATCTGGCCGAATGTTGTTCCAAGTTTTTGGCTTTCAACTTAGTTTCCCCAACATCTAGGATGGCCTTCTGCTCATCAACTGGAATATTGACCACCTCCTGCTCTAAATGAAGCTTCTCCATCAACTCTTCTAAGATTTTCTTCCAATCCTTGACTTCTTTCTTTACTTTCACCACTTTCCTCTTCACCCAGCCCATTCTTCGTCCTTCCCACATTACTTTCAAATTTTGTTTCAGTAGAGAACATTGTTGTGTTTCCATTCTGAGTATCAGCCTCCGCTTCATTCGTTTTAAGAGTCATCCTTTTGGTTTCAACAAAGGTTTCTCTTCTTTCTTTCTCAGCATCCACAGTTTCTCTTTTCAGCAACTCTTACTTCTTCAAGTGCCACAACTAACATCTTCCACCCCTGTTTTGCTCTTCCCTCTGGTATGCATTGTAGAGAACACTGACGTGGGCCCCACAGCTGCGAGAGCAGAATTAGGGTTTCAACTGTAGGTCTGAAATAAGTGCTCAGCTGCACTCTCCAAGAAGTCCGTACAAGTGGGACCTGTCGTAGGGTCAATATGAAACCCTAAAACTGATCACCTCTAAGAGAAGGGGGGTTCGGCCCAACAGTCAAACCCTAGAGACAAACTTAAAACAGTTCGGCCTCTCCTTCTAGATAGGTCCAACCTATCTCGACTGATTGCAGTCTCTGAAACTAAATAAAAAACTTACTTATGGATTTCGGTTTACTGCCTTCCAGGGTTACCTGAACCCTAACCTTCGCTGCTTCTTCCTGATTACCAACTCTCTGCAAGCCACGGCAAGTCCTCAACTGCTGCGAACCTCTCCTGGTAATCTCCAAGAWTCAGCCACCAAATACTTCTTCATAGGCTTCCAGCCCTAGCTAGTCCTCATGTGGTCAGCTGGACTAGACACACATGAGAAGCCCTAGATAGGCTCTGATACCAAGTAGAAGATCAAGACTGTAATCAGTCTTGAATCCTAATAGATTTTAGGTTTAGAAAAGTAGAAGAAAAGTGAGAGAAAGGAGAAGGAAGAGAAGAGAAACAGGAGAACACAAGGAGTTGAAAGGAGGGACAGATTCTAACACTTCTGCCGCCGCCACTCTCTTAGCATTTATAGGTTATGTTCAGTACATAATGGAAATGACAGATCTGCCCTTAGTACTTACATGACAAATAAAGTAAATAAAAAACTGAAATAAATAACAACTGAATTAACAAACTGACCCAAACTGACACTACTATAACTGAAAACAAATAACTACACATGCTTTCCTACGAACACAGTGGGGACCACTGCTGTGGGGCCCACATCAGTGTTCTCTACATGCATACCTTTGCCAAAGAACTCAGTTAAGGTAATGAAGCCTCCATTTCTATTTCTTCTGTTTTCTAAAAAATTTTATGCCACCTCTGCTCAACACATTCCTCCATCCTATTGTTCTCTCAACAAAGATTAGGCCATCCATAAATCCCTTAAACGAGCCTGGCTATTCCCTTCCCATTACAATTGTTGCCCTTTTATCTTCCCTTACCTTCACATCTCTTTTCCCTATAGTTTTTGTCTCCTCGAGAAGTATTCTCTTTTTCCCCAGCATGAGAACTTTTCTCCATTTGTTTACCTAAACAAAGCTCTCCATCTTTTCCTGGTTGCCAAGGGTTAAACACAGGTGTACAGAGTTGATTATATGGAGACCTCCCCAATTACCAAATGACCTTAGTAAGAATTTTGTTATCCTTGGCAATGAGTTATAACTAGCCTTTATATCAGTTTGATGTTAAGAATGCCTTCTTAAAAGGGGACTTAATTGACAAGGTTTATATGTTACTTCCTCTAGGCATATATAGTACGGAAATGCAGGGCAAGGTGTGTAAATTGAAAAAATCTCTATATAGCTTCAAGCAATCCCCTCAAGCATGGCTTGACAAATTTCGGGCTGCACTTGTTAAGTTTGGATACGCTTAAGCACAATTTGACCATACCCTATTTATTAAGAGGAGAGATACTCGGGTTACCATCCTTATTGTTTATGTTGATGACATTCTATTTACAAGCTGTGATATAGAGGAAGTTTAGGCACTCGAGAGCTTCTTTAATTCAGAATTTGAAATTAAGCAATTAGGGGAGTTAAGATATTTCTTAGGAATTAAAGTTTCCAACTTTAATGATGGCATCTTCATCTCCCAATGGAGGTATGTGTTAGATCTTCTCACTAAGACTGGGAAACTTGGTGTCAAACCTGCCTCTACACCTATTGATGCAAGCCATAAGCTTTCAACCAATGATGATGAGCACTTGGCAGACAAGAGAGTGCCTCAGAGGCTTTTGAGGAAGTTACTATATCTTTGTATGACACAGCTAGATATTTCATATGTTGTCAGTGTGATTAGTTAGGTTATGCATGCTCCAGTGACACATGTGGCTACTACAAAAAGAGTTTCGTGTTACTTGAAGGGAACTCTAGGAAAGGGCATTCTCTTCTCTAAGCATGGACACATGAAGTTAGAGGCTTATACAGATACTGATTAGGCTAGTAGTATTAATGATAAGATCTATATCTGGTTATTGCACTCTAGTAGCAGGGACTATTATTGTCTCTTGGAAAAGTAAGAATAAGTCTATGTTAGGTAGATCTTCAACTAAGGCAGAGTATAGGGCCATGGGGTTTCAGAGTTGTTATGGCTCAAGTCACTTCTGGTGGCATCTGGAGAAGTCTGCATCCCTTTAATTGCCTCAGAGTTGCAGCTAGAAAATGTTTTTACTAAAGGTCTACCTAAGGTGAAACTGCAGCACTACATAAACAAGTTGGGCATGATTTATATCTATGCTCAGCTTGAGGGGATGAGTAGAGATACTGGGTTGAATGGGCTATAGTTCTTTTCTTTTATTTTTAGTATTATTTATGTCTTATGTCTTTATTAGTGGGCCTTAGTTAAGGTCCTGATTTACTTTTCTTATTGTCTTTATTGAGATAGCCGCCTTACTAAGGGTATACTTGTAGTTGTATCCAAACTACAATTAGTTTCTAATAAAAGTGATATGAGGGACTGGAGTGAGGTACGATTACTTTCTTCTTTCTTCCTCTTCATTCTCTTCCTCTCCCTTTTGAACACTTTCCTCTTCTTCTTCTTTCTTCTTTTGCTTTATATTTCAGATTTATTGCATGTCTCCATAACTCTATCTCTGATAACTCTCGTGCTTATATTTATGGTAAAATTTTATTTGCTATTTTAATAATTTGTGTTCCTTTAGATTAGGGATAGAAAGTTTTTCATACTTTTTTGGAAGGGTTTGTAAGAGATAAGAAGCTTCCGGGATATTTAGTCAAGTAATCTAGTATTCGGAAACCTTGTTCATGGCCACTAAGTATTTGAAATTGTTTTTGTTCTTGGTGGAGATTATTCATCCCCAAAATTTCCAATTCTTTGAACATCTTACCCTCAACTTCTTGGAACTAGATATTAGGATAACCCTAAGCCGTTGTTGGTAATGAAAAACACATATCTGCACAAGGACATAAGATAATTTCTGGATGCAAATTATGCAGATTGAAATTCAATCTTTCAAAGTACTTACAATCTAAAGTGACATGAATCTCATTTTAAAACTATAAAAAGAATCATGAGTTGGGGAACCTTACTGCTGTGGTTTGGTTTCAAAGTTTTTCGAGCAAACCACATAGCAAGCTAGCACTCAAACTTAGGATGTGTAGACAATCTAATATTGTTTCAGTTCTATTCATAATATATTTACCAGCCAACTGGACATCCTAATCTATGTCATATTTATGAATTAGGATACATTCTTGAAAACGCAATGATTCAGATCAGATTAGCAATTAACAATATAAATTCAACCATCCACCACCAAGCAAATAAAGGTAAAAAGTAGATTCATATATGAAAAAAATTATAAACAATATGTTGGCATTAAAACATGCATAGCTAGGAAACAAATGACCACCTCTATTAAATTAAATGAAAAAAGAAGTATCAATGTTATGTCATATGAAAATCACAACCTGATCAGATGGCCAATTATAAACCATTGACATCATCTCTCCACGGTCTGCTGCACTGAAATACATTCCCCGTGGCCTTCTAAACAAGCTACTGTAGTTCTGGCATACCAGACCAACAGTGGGTGTATAAACTAAAGGTGCATACTCTTTAATGTTGTCAATTAAAACCTGTCAACAATAGAAAAGAACCATAAACTTGAGGGATATGGAAAAACGATTAATTACAAATTAGAAATAATAATGTGTATCTTCTATATCATAAAACAGAACAAATACCAATAACAACAAAAGCCTCACCTTCCATCAAACAGTATGTGCAATTAAAGAAAGTAATAATGATGTAACAAATTCACCTTGTAGTACATTGTCTCATTTCTGTCATGTAACCGGTTGAGTATCCGCCATTTAGCCAAAGCATATGGATCAGATGGTCCATCTCTTGCATTTTTTTCAAGCTTTTTTAGGTCAACCACTGCCAATGAACAAATTTCAACTATGACTCTCAAGAAGAACAATTTACAAGAAAAAACAACCAATTTACAGAACCATGTCCCAAGAATGGAGCTCAAAGCTTTTTATCCCTTACATATCTGCAGCAGAACATACCATCTAGAAACATGCCTAATCAAAGTAAAATACCAAAAACCCAATTTTTGCGACAGATTAGTATGATAACGGTACCAAACTCAAGCCAAAAAGGCAAGGTTTGTACACAATTAATGCCATAAAATGAAGTGAAAACTTCTGAGTTACTCATATAAATTCTAGGAATCCTATGGACTCTTTGGATATTTAAGGTTGAAGTTATGAAACTATAGGACCAAGGTTCAAAGTATCGAAAACGCAAAGAGTATCGAAAAGGAAGTTCTAAGAGATGTATCGGGATACACTTTGGATATGCATGGATACGGTAGAAAAATTAGGATATGCATGGATATGCTAAAAAAACTCAAATAAATGCCAAAAGATACACCAATAACACTGAAGGGGAAATCCCAAGAATTACAAAAGGCCCCCTTTGAGAGGAAGGGAACTGACAGTATAGGCTATTCACATCATATACAAATCAACATAACAAAGCTCTCCACTAAGAGATAAAGGTCTCCACTAAGGCCCCCTTTGAGAGAGAAGGGAACTGACAGTATGAACTATTCACTTCATATACAAATTAACATAACAGAACAAAGCTCTCCACTAAGAGACGAGAATATGCCCCTACCAATCGTAGGCCCTTGGATCATTGATTTTGATGCTTCCTATGACCAGAATATCTAATCCTTTTAGCTCTTATCAGCTTCTTTCTAATCGTGTCAAGATATCCCCTGCAAATGGCTCACTTCCCCTATTTCTGGCGAGGGAGACATCACAACCTTAGAGTGTCTTATTCTATACTTTATTCTTCATGTTCCTAAGCTTAACAATAACTTTCATTCTGCTAGTAGCTTAGCCAAATCCCTAAATTACAATATAACCTTCTTTCTCTCTTATTCTGTTTTTCAGGACCTATCAGAATATGATTAGGAGTGGCCATGATGTGAATGGAATATACTTGCCAGATATGCCTGAAAACAGCCAAGTCCAACCTCAACAAGTTGATTTTTTTTATAGTAAAAATAAAAGGAATTTTATTAGAGAAAAGAAAAGAGTACAATAAAGGTGATAAGATATCACCCACAAAAAACAAGCACAAGACCCAAGAGAAAAAAATTAAAACTCCAAAACAAGGTTCAAAAATTTGGCAACGTATCAGACCATATTAGCCAATACCTATCATTCCAACACATCTGGTATCTGGTACACAGAACGTATAGAAATCATATGCAGTGTTTCATTTCATATGTATCAAACTGTACAGGTCCATATCGAATTGTTTTGGGCATATATCGGCCAATATGGGCTTGAATACAGCCCGATACACTCAAGTCCCCTACTCTCATTAATTTCATTAAACTATATTTAAGGCTGAATTGTCTCCCATTAATTTCGTCATTTACTCCTATATTTAAGTGTAATTTCTATCTCTCATTAATTAGTTAATTACTCCTATAATTTAATTCATAATTTTAAATTTGAATTTTAACTTTAGCTCATTAATTTCGTTAATTAATGATCCACACTCTCATTGAATTCATTTTGTTAGTATAAAACTACAAAGCTTAGCAATAGCAAGATTTGAATCTTGGTCATTAGGTTTTAACGACCAAAAGTTCACCACTAAGCCACACCCATTTGTTTGATATAGTTAAATGCATTTTTATTTTTAAGTAAATTTTCTCTTTCTTAGTGGATGCTTCTCAATAAATGTTAGAATTAATTATTAAATTTGTATATTAATAAATATTAAGATAAATTATATTGATTATTTGAAAATTAATGCATATCCATACACAATTAATTTTTTTGTTATTTTCACATTTTAGTTATTCCATCATTTACCAAGTGTGTCCCAATATCTCAAACTTTATGTAAACCATTAAATTGTGGCATTTTACTTTTAAATAACTTATTTACAATCATATAAAACTTGTAACTATTGTTATTAATATATTTTTAGGATTTATTTGAGTTTTTAGCATATATATGCATATCCTGATTTTTCATCTATATCCATGCATATCCAAAGTGTATCCCAATACATCTCTTAAAATTGTATTTCCAATACTTTAAATATTGCTCCCAAACCTAAAAACAACAGAAAAGATAAAATTGACTTCAAATCCTCAAAATATTAACCCAAACTCGCTTCCAAAACAAAACAACCCTCATTAACCGGTACAAAAATGCCCAAACAACAGAAAAATTTCCTCAATAGAGAACTCGCAACTGTCAATAATTATATCAAGAGTTTTCGGTTTCCAATGGATACTATAGTTCCAAAACATTCTTTTAGTGAATTCTTCCCCTCCTAAAGTCTCATAAGAGTCTTTCTCGTGTCATGCTATGTCATTTTCGTTTAGGTCATCTTTCTTTTTTTCTGAGTCATTTGTTTTCAAAATTGTTTGAAGAAATAAGTTTGTCCAGTCTTTATTGTGAGTGATGTAAACTCTCCAAGCATTGTAGAAACTCATATCCATTAAATAATAAAAAATCAACAATTCTTGTTCATATTGTGCACTCTAATGTGTCGGGGCCTTATCATTTACCTATGGTCGGTGGTTATAAGTATCTCATCTTATTTATTGATAACTCCTCTAAATATACTTGGATATATCTAATGCGTTCTCATGATGAAGTTCTAAAAATTATGGCTGTAGAGGCTTCCTTTAGAAAGAGAGGCTTTGGAACAAGGTAAGTGCAAGTATACACAAATGATTGAAGAATGATTGGGATGCAAAGGTAGCCCCCAATGGAACTTCTACCTCTCCTTGGAAAGAAATACATGAGGTATATCCTTTTTTTTCTTAACCATATACGGTTGGATGTGGATGGGCTAGGAGTCTTATTCTAAGAGGACCTTTTGGTAGGTGAGAGTCTGCTCAAGGTCCAATTTCCTTTACTCTATGCACTCTCCAATTACAGGGCTGGATCCATTGCTAAATTTGTCGTTTTCTCCTCCTTGGGGTTAAATTGGGATTTTAGGTTCAAAAGGGGCCTTTGTGAGATGGAATGTGAATCTCTCATCCTTATCTTGGCCAAGCTTGATTCAGTTTTTTTGGACCAAGGCATGGAAGATACTAGGATTTGGTCAATATCTTTGAATGGCTTGTTTACTTGTTATTCTTTCTGTTGAGTTGGTCCAGTTTGTTTTTATTTAGTTAGGAAGTTGTTGRGCTTTAGGCCCATTAGTTTATGTTTTTTTAAGTTGTGACTGTTCAGCTTTTAATAGCCGCCCTACTAAGGGCATCCTTGCAATATCTCATCTTTTTAAGTTAAGTATAAATATAATGAGAGGGGGGCGGCTAGGGTTAATTTTTCACAATCCTGGTTGACTTCCTACTCTCTTCTTCTTCTCCTTTCTTCTCTACTGCTGAAATCTTCATCTTCCCCCTCTTTCCTTCACAAGAAACTCGACTAAATCTGCAATTAGTGATCTCTACTTGGTATCTGCAATTAGTGATATTTCTTTAATATTTTAAATTTTTAATACAGCATTCTACCTTGGGGGTGAACTTCCTGGTGAAAGAAATTTGGAGTAGGCCAATTACTCCTAAAATTCAGGCCCTTTCTTAGGAGACTTTTCGTGGAAAGATAAATACCAATGGCTTGCTGTAGAAAAGGAGGCCAAACAAATGCCTTTCCCCTCATATGTGCATCCTTTGCAAAGGAAGTGGTGAACCCATTTCCCATATCTTTATTCCTGCCCTTTTGTGCTTTGCATTTTGGGAGCATCTTTGTTCTCTTTTTGGGTGCAGGTGGAAACATAGAAGACTTAATAGAAGACTTTAAGTACCCATTAGATATTGGAAACATAGGCTATATATTCAGGTATTCTAGACAACACAATTCAGTCCAAAAACCCTAGCTTTCACCTAGGATTGAACTTGCAATTGTGTTCTCCTTTCTTCCTCACTTTGAACCACTTTCTAGAAGGCAATTTTTGACAACCAAACACAAAGGTGATTTGGGCAACCAAACACAGCTGTGTCCTCAAGGGATCAAATTATCGAATATCAAAGGTTGCGCCAACTTCATGATCGTTCACTAGAGATAAGAGGTTGGATTCTTAGGCATGAATACCACAGTTGTTCTTGCACTTATGAGGACTCTTCTATCAGGTAAAGTTTCAACCTTTCTCATTGTTTTGGATCTAATTTGACCTGGTTCAAATCCCAAAATCGATCTTGATGAGAAAAGGTAGTTTTCTCCCATGCGATTTTGCTATTCTCCTATCTGATTCCTCGGTTCTTGAACCCTAGTTTTGGAAAAGTTTTGAACAGATAATTTTTCCCATGAGAATGTCTCAACTTTCAGCACATCAGCAACCAATAAAATAATCAAGAAAAATGTGCGGACTGCAAACTTACTGAAGCGATCAATTTGCTGTTGAGCAGTCATAACAGTAGGAGGAAGAAGACCACGAAGATCAAGGCGATCCCGTTCAGTCGTGGAGAATGCTGTTCCCTGGTTATTTTTCATAGACAAGAAGATCAGAATTATATCCTACCATTTGACAAGGAAAAAGTAAAACCATTCATCAAATGACGGATGCACTAAAACGAACCAGAAAGGGATGACATGAATGGTAATGGACCACATTCTCTTCAAATATAAAATTTGCAGAAGTATGTAGATTAGCCGCTTGCAAATTCAAAATTATCCACGACATTCAGAACAGAACCGCCAAATGTAGTAATTATAAAATAATATCCAATGAATCTGAACCACATAAAAGCATGCAATGAACCAGTGTGTAATATTCTTCAATTTGATCCATTATGTTCACAGTCATCTTTTATTTTACCGCGATTGAAGAACAAATATAGCTAGTTACGTAACAATCTAATCTTAGAATTTGAAGAGATAACCGATCAGCAATCACAAATGTACTATCTTCTAAACAATATCTGAGATATTGGTAAGTAGGACTTCAACTCGATTGGATAAGGCAATCAACATACTAAAATTCAACCGATCAAACAGTAATTAAAGAGTTACCTTGTTAAACCAGGGATCGTGAAGGATATCAAGGCTACGTTTGTGGATAATGGTGGGGCGGTGCCATTCAACAGTTGTAAAGGATCTACGTTCCGTCATCATCATCATCATCATTGACACATTCGTCGCCATTTGATGCTTAAAACGTTTGATGAGGGACGAAGAGAGTCTGAGTTGAGAAGAGAAATTCGACATTTTTTGCAGCGACAGACTATGCAATAATGTTGCAGAAAAGAAGAAGAGATTGAGATTGAGAAAGAGAGAGAGAGAGAGCACAAGAACAAAAGCTGAAAGATCGATCTATTTTATTCCTTCTGTTCTTCTTTTATTCCACTTCTGCATTCGCATTCCCGGACAAAACCCAAACTGCCCAAGCTGGGACGCGGAAGTTGAATAGGAATCCGAACTGCCTTTCATTTTTGCTTTTTTCGTACTTTTTCTTTCCTTCATTTTCGCCAAAAGATGTTTTATGTTTTATATACAATATGGCTACGTCCACTAAAAGCAGCGAAGTGGGACCATTTGAACCGTCAGATTATCATTAAAAGGAAAATCTATGATGGAGGAAAGACATATTTCGCAAGAGTTTTGACCAATCAGAATTCAACGGTTAATTTTGATAAATCCACCTGAATCATCTGGTCGCTTAGCACATTTATATCGATTGATTGGTTTCTACAAAAAAACAATAAAAAAACGAAAAAAGAGATTTAAAAGTTGTAGCTTTTATCTTTTCAGGATTGATATGAAGGGCAGATTTGATTTGAAATCACAGAGGATATTAACAATTTTTAGTCAAAAAGCCTTATTTTACTTTTCCTTTTCACCCTTTATAATTTTTGTTTTTCCAGTAATTTATTTAACTATCTTGATTCCTGAGGCCATATGCTAATTTTTAGTCAAAAACCTTGATTTTACTTTCCCTTTTTACCCTCTATAATTTTTGTTTTTCAGTAAATTGTTTAATTATCATGATTCATGAGGCCATACGCTATTCATCAAACTTTTTTCAACAATACAAATGAGAATGCAAACTGTTAACATTGTTATATCTTGATTCTACTTTCCATCTTTACTCTTCACAATTTTTGTTTTCTAATGTTCTTTTTTGATCATTCAAGTATTTGATCTTATCATAAATGGCCAGGTACACTCTCCAGTGCTGACCTTGTTGCTACCTACTATTTTCATTTAACTCATTGCAATCGTCCATAAATTCTCATCAATTACACACATGAAACATAAGGACTGTTAAATGGTGATTGGAGATCCGAGATCCCATAACCAATAATTTATCGTTATTTATGTTTTTATTGAAATCTTATATCAACCAATTATCCTATAAATTCACCCTGATATTTAGAATAAAAATTAAAAATTCATCAACCTCACTTAGGATTAACAAAATGCTTGTGAAATCATCTAAACACCAAAACTTGAAAACAATACAAAAGACACTTCTTATTGAATTAATATTAATTTTAGTTAGATAATAAGAATCCTATTATGAGCTTAATATTAATTTAGTGCTAAAAAACTAAGAATGTTGCAATGGGTTTGGTCAAAACACCTTCATTTTACTTTCCAACTTTACCCTCAAATTTCTATTTTTTCCCATTTTTCCATTGCAAAATAATTATGAAAAACATAAAATGAAGAAAATAATATAAATTACAAAAAAAACAAAGAAATCCATAGAAAAATTACTAAAAAATATAGAAATTTCTATGCCATACTAAAAAAATGAGAATGTTGCAATTGGTTTAGTTAAAACACCTTGATTTAACTCTCCAACTTTACCCTCAACTTTCTACTTTTTCCCATTGTATATATGTCATTGCAAAATAATTATGAAAAATCACATAAAATGATGAAATAATATAAATTACAAAAAAACAAAGAAATACATAGAAAATTTACAAAAAAAATATATAGAAAATCATAAAAATTGAAGAAAAATAACATAAATTACAAATTTATACCATACCAAAAAATGAGAATGTTGTAATTGGTTTGGTCAAAAAACCCTGATTTTACTTTCCAGCTTTACCCTCAACTATGTATTTTTTCCCATTGTAATATACTCATTGCAAAATAATTGTGAAAAAAACACAAAAAATGAAGGAAATAATATAATATACAGAAAAACAAAGAAACATAGAGAAAATTTACAAAAAATATAAAAAATCATAAAAATTGAAGAAAAAATAAATTACAAAAAACAAAGAAAAACCATAAATTATAGAAAAATGAACAAAAGTTGTAGAATAAAATGAGAATTTATATCTACTACCATATATAAAAAATGAAATTCATCCATTTAGTATGGTCGAAAGACCCTGATTTTTCATACCAATTCTACCCCTTAGTACATAAATTCTAGAAAAGTATAACGAAAAAAAATACATAATATACAAATAAATATAGGAAATGTATAGAATAACATAAATTAAAGAAAAAATAGAAAATTAATTATGAAAAACATAGAAAATGAGGAAAATAGTATAAAGTACAAAAAACAAAGAAATACACAAAAAGTTACAAAAACATAGAAAATTATAAAAATTGATGAAAAATAACAAAAATTACAATAAACAAAGAAAATGATAAATTACAGAAAAATGAAAAGAAATTGTAGAATAAAAAAAATTTATAGAAAAATATAACAAAAATTGCACAAAAATACAAAAATTTCGTTTCATGGGCCCTAGACATGTTTGTCAATTGGACCCACGTCTTATAAGGGCATTTGGCCACTGGGACCGTATGTTATCATGTGTGTTGCTGTTAAGTAGGGTATGCAACTCATGTCCTCAGTCATATGCAACACTGTGACACATTATGAATTGTTCAATTGTTTTATTCTTGGACAAATTTGCGAAGGTGATCAACATGCCCAGAAGGTGTTTGTATACATGTTACTCTAGTGGTTGGTTGATAAATTTTGCTTCCAACTACTTTCTTTATTTCCTTTTTAGTTAAAAAGTAAGAAGAAAGTGTTTTTTGGGCTTAAATGTAAGTTATTTAATAGTCATCTTAGATAATGAATTCTGCTATTCAATAGTTAATTGAGTAAATTAACATAATAGTTTAGTTTACTTCTAACCATTAATAGTAATTATATTCATAGGTTTTAAGTTATTGCAAAATAGGAGATCAGTTAAGAGTGGCATCTCCAATTCTCCATAAATGTTGTTGAATGTAATTTTATAATTGATTTGGTGCATTAATGTTTCAATCTTATGCATTTGCAACCAACATTTTATAATTATAAAATTTAGATCTTGGCATTTTGGGAGGATAGTCTTTTCTTTTATGTATTAGGACTTGAATAGCATGTGAACTTTCATTTATGCCCAAGATATAAAAGCATAATCAAACATCACCATCAATATCAAATACCCCATGTATGCCATTCCACTAGTTTTGATTAAAAGTAAATGTACAGGTATTTTGGACATTTTCATTCCTCTTTATAGACTATACTAACAAAAGGGGGATCTCTTTATAAAAAGTCCCTCTTGTGATTGAAATTACCAAACTTCAATAAGATTTCAATGATTTACCATTATTCTAACTTCTTTTATTTTTAATTTTTTAAATTTCAATAATCCCTGTAACTTTAGTACTTTCTCTAATTTGTAAGGTTCTGGTTATTTCTCTAATATTTTTGTTTCCCACAATTATTCTAATTTCTAAGGTTCTTTCTTCGCAAGGCTCAGCCTTCGGCCTTGATAGACCTCAAATTTCTCAGTCAGCCCTCGACTCGGGAGTGGAATTACAATATTACCCTCAACCCATTCTGACCAGCAACAACTAATAATGCTTAAGCGGCAGTCTCCACCCTTCTTAACTTTGTCTTTGCGTGGTTTTCTTGGCGTTCATTCATTACAACCTTGACACCCAGTTTTTGGGTGGTGATGGTTGAATTGGCTGATGGCTCTGTTTCATTCAACGTACGCTCGTAAAATGTCTATTGGGACAAGAGCACGCAAGCTACGCCAAAGGATACGCATGACAATACTTGAGACACGTCTACTACTAATGGCTGCATTAATTCTTGAATCCAATTATCACTTTTTAGTCAGTATTATCCAATGAATCTAATCTCTTCACCGCAAGCAACATGAACAGGGAGGAAAATTCTTTGCGCAGAACTTCAGCCCGTACGTTATCGAAGGGAGAAAGTAAGAAAATAAAAAGATACCGTATCTTTTGTGCATATTAGACATGACCCAACAGATTCAAATTGCCACTTGGTAAGGTGGGAAGTAGGAGAAACATAAAAAAGAAAAAATAAATAAAAATAACTTGGGGCTCAGTTTGTTTGCAGTGTTTAAATGCATGAGATGAGAATATGCTAGCTGAATGCTGGAAGCAAATTCTTTTACTTTTGCTTCACATTTGACATTGTCTTGTTTGTTTGTGTGAAGTAAAATGATTGTTTTCCCCATCTTATATGAAGAAAGAGAATGGAGATAAGAGGAGGTTTATTTAATTTCTTTGAGAATTGAGAGTGAGGCTGAAAGAGCAAGATGATGTGGTCTACACTTAAGAGACAGAAATGAGGTATAGGAGGAAGGTGGTGGTGCAAAATTCGTATCAGTTTTTGGGATATAAGATTTGCATTGTCAGTGTGTATAAATGAGATAAAAAGTACAAATTTTGTATCAAGTAAAATGCAAATCATAATTGCAAATAAATCGATGCAAAACTGAACCAGCAGGTACAATATTTATATCTGGTTTAGATTTGAATTGCAAACAGAGCCTAAGAATCTAACATTTGTAGAAAGCTTTTTCTGTTAATTATTTACATTTTGTTGTCATTATTATTATATTTTTTTTGTTTGTTTTTTTCTTTCTCTCTATGTATATAATTATATCAAGTAAAAATATTAGGCTGCATTTGGCAATCCTTATTTTAAGGACTTATCTCCATTTTGCAATTAAAAATTCAGTATTGGTAGGAACATTTTAACTATAAAAAGGAGATAAGTCCTTAAAAATTTGAAATGTCAAATGCAGCGATAGTACTTTTCTTCTAGAGAGGTTGAAGGAGATGGGAGTTATTTCTTCACATACTTACAATGGGAGAGTGTCCTAAACTTTGTGGATAAGAAAGGAGATATTTTTGCATGGAGATTATAAGGGGAGGGAGAAGACATGAGAGAAAGAGAAAAAAGTCTTCTTTAATTAGAGGAAAATTAAGGAAATGTGATTGCATTTTTATTATCAAAGAATCGATGATGGAAAAATTGAAGAAATTAGAAGTGTTCTAGTAGCAAAGGTGGTTGGGCCCAGGGGTGTCAATTGGACTGGATTTGGTCCAATCCGATCCAGTCTAATGTGAGTCCATTATAAATGGATCATGTCCAATCCAATTCAATGAATATTTTGGACCATTTTGGACTGGTCTAATTCAATGCCTGGA